AAGCAACTGAGTGGTCAATCTTCAATCGTGTCTCGAACAGCAATAGACGTTGAGTAACTAAATAGAACATTCAACAAAAGTACCAACAACACGGGAACGGAGCCAATCATCACCAACGCAAACGTCGACCCCAGCAATAAAGAACCCTCTACTATTCGAAAACAGGATGTTCCGAAAGAGTTGCTGACACTCAAACCCAAAAATCACCCGGTCCCGATAGGTTGGAGGTTGCCATTCTTAAGGAGTGCGCTCGCACACTTTCGCCAGTGCTCACAGCTCTGTTTAACCAGTGCTTGGAAAACGGAATTATACCGAATTGTTGGAGAGCTGCCCACCTTAACTCCAGTGCCTAAAAAAGGCACGTCAAAATTCCGTCCCGCTGCATGTACGTCTGTTGTGTTGAAGCTTTTGGAGAAGTTACTCCTTCAAGGAATGTCATCTCAGCCGAATGTGTATGACCAAAACCAATTTGCATACTGTCGCTCTCGCTCCACACTAGATGCCCTAGCTTCTTTGGTTCACTACATTCTGTCAGCACTTGATGAAACCACACGAAAGCTATCAGAATTTGTTTCTTGGATTACAGTGACGCCTTCAATTGTATTGGCAAGATCTATGCTGTTAAATATTTTGCCTTCAAACGGAACATCACAAATCATTACTGAAGTACTCCCCAGCTATTTCATAAATCTCCTGGAATCCTGTCCCACCTTAAACATATACGATGATACTATTGTCCAACCCCCGAATGTCAAGTATCTTGGTGTGTTAATTAACCGAAACGTATGCTGGTCTAACCAAGTTGTTTCTGTATTTGGAAAGGTCAGGAAACTATCATTTTATGTCTTACGACTGAAACCACTATCCGTCCCTCGTTTTCTTTTTGCCTGTGCTTTACCCCTATGGTTGTACGGGTCCCCAGTAATCTTTCCAGGGATGCTCAAAAAAGACTTTAAACTGCTTTCCAGATCATTAACACATCTATCTAGAAGCAGTGGGATTTCCCGTGAAACTATCTGCCACTTTGTCATTTCCCAACATTCAAAGTCATGCTTTTCTTTATCAACAAAAGTCATAGACAACCCTTCACATCCGTTACATCAAGATCTTATTAAGTATGTATCCTCCTCTTCCACCCGGTCCCGCTATAATTGTATATTTTCTCGTACGACTGCCCATCGGTCTTCTGTGGTGCCCGACCTTACCCGTCTTCTTGTCAGCCCAGAACGCATCGCTTCACAACTTCACTCAGTCATCTCGTAAATTGTTTTATTTTTCATTGCTTACTATAATTCTTTTATAATTTTGTTCGATAATTGTTGATTGACTGCTGAATATTCACCTTTCGGGGTGCGTAAAGCAAATACTTGACTTGACTTGACTTGACTTGAAGCTGAACCTTGTCAATCTGGTTTTCGTCACCATTTCACGGATTCCCACATTCATTGTTTGTGTACATTTTTCTTCGGTACAATGTATGCCGGAGTCTTAGCAACCGGAGAACCTCCGGTTCAGTAATGAGATTGTGGTCAATTCTGTCGCTTGTGTTGTCACAGGGGTGTGCGAGGGGCGATTTATATCGTTGATAATTTTCAGAATTTTCAGAATTTTCAGAATTTTGGTCTTGATACATATCCTGCATTTTCTTTAATCTGTACCTGTGAGGCAAAAAAGCTGAATGGTGCTGTTAATCTGCGTGTGTGTGTCTGTGTCACAGAAAAGCGGCTAAACAGCACATCACGTGCTCAAAATGATGCACAGTCAGTGGTGTCCGCGGCTCGGTGAACACAGATCGAGAGGGAGAGGGTGTGTGAAAGAGATGTTCTTCAACCTAATTGGTACTTTATCAAAGCTAGCATTAACAAGCACACTTACGCTTGCACGCGCACGCATACGCACACCCACACACGTATAACATGAAAACCGTGTGCGAATTACTACAACACACTTATCACTGACAATATGCCATTCTACTACTGTTAGACACGCTCCGAACCGAACCGTATGGATCACTTTCTATCGTTGCAATGATTATATCAAATAACTTCGGCGGGAAGAGTTAGTTGCCAAGGCATTCACAGGATAATTGTTACGTTTGTTATTTTTCTTTGCCAAACCGCTGCTTTGGTGTCCGCGCGCGCACGGGCGCGATAATTCCGAAGAATCCAATTTCCCTTCAAATATTCATATCCCGAGGTTGCTGCAAACACAAATCCG